AAGAAATGAAATATTTTGTTTCTTGTGGAAGAAATTGTCTGCAAATCAACATGTACTTCAAATTCTGTTTTGATGTGATTTGTAAATTATGGAAATGAAGTGGATATTGCTTTCAAATGTAGTTTTGTGTTAATAATGCTATTTGTTAGTCTCATTTTATTTTGTCTTCAGGTTAAAGAAGAACCAGATGACAATACAGAAGATTATTCATGGAATACTGATGTGAGTCAAATTGTTTTCTTCTGTCTGTTAAAGGGAAAGTAACAAGTTTTTAAAAAAGATATTGCCAGACAGAATAATATTACTTCTATGAAATTTTAGCTAATCCATTGTAACATTTGCATGGTATTATTGGCAAAAGACAAAAATTGTGGCTTACTAAATGATGAAATCAAGAAAATTTCACCATTTACATTGTATATTAACCATAACAGATATGTTGTCTAATTTAAGGTAAAAATACAAACAAGTTTTGTAACATTTGACTATCATGTATAACTTGACAATAGGATTGAATTTAATATTTCAGTTTTTGAATGTTATTATGATGTCGAATCACTAACAGCTTATGCAGCCTAAATCCTTTAATATATGTAATAGGAAAATTGGCGGTAATAATAATAATAATTATTATTATTATTGTTATTGTTGTTATTATTATTATTATTATTATTATTTCTTTATAACACACTACCATAGATATAATTGAGATTCTAAAATGACATGGGAATTTGAACTTCACAGACAATAAATAGTCCATAAAACAGCAAAAACATGTTTCATTCTTCAGGAGGAGTTAGAAAATCCTGCCTCTGTATTTCTGAAGACTGAAACAGTGTGTGAGATTGAAGAAGAGTTTCAGGATGAAGAAAATAGAAAGCAAGCATTTCAAGAAAGTGATGCAAGTGAAGATGAAGAAGAGGTAAGAATGAAACTGTAACGATATAACCAAATTTATGTTTTTATTTACATCATTTGAAGCATTTGAAAAAATTAAAATTAGTATTAAAATCATTCTTTTCCATGTAGGTATTTGGAAGGTTCAAGTCTCTCATTATAAAAAGTTCAACATCACAATTAAGTAATTATCAATACTTTCAATGAACGTAACATAAGCATCAAGAAGTGATTTTGAAGGAAAATAATTTGTTCTGGTTATTGTGTACCTCTGAAGACTACATTTTTGGTTCACCATACTGACAATGTGAAAATAAACCAAAATTTTTTAATTACTAATTTTATTTCAAATGTTTGCTAAAAAAAGCAAATCAGTAACTCAATATTATATATATTAATTAACCTTAAAATAGTATGTTATATTTGTTATTGTTTGCTGTGTACAGTTTTTATTAATAATTTTTGCTGGTATTCCTCCAGAATTCGTGGTATTACCACACTTTAATCTACAGAATCCACACTCTCAAAAGTCTTGAATACTTTTGAGCGGCCCTGTTGGAACCTTTTTTTACTATCACTCTCTTATTCTTCTGTTCTGGAAAACCATTTCATAGCAATTATGATGTCCATTCCTAGTGGAATTTCATTAGTTTTCATCTCGCAGTCCAATTATTCAATCTTTTGCTTTGACAGAATTGCCATAGTTCAGCTGAAACAATTGTGGTTTGTTACCCCAGTCTCCTTTGTTTGCTGTAAATGTTATAAAAATAAATTATGAAACCCCTCCAAAATCGTTATTGAGGTTTGTGGCTGTAAGTGAAAGTATTTTATCCTGGAAATTGGGGTTCCTATGATCACCCCAACCAAATCGTCTAGTTTTCTTTGTAACTAGCAAAATACTCAGCATTGCCAAGGCTTTCTGCCTATCCTAGTCCTTGAGAAAGAGGAAAATTAATTTTGCAGAAACTACAGTGTTGAAGATTAATATTTTTAATATAATTGGTTGAAATTTTAATGAAATACTATAGTTGTCATTCATTTTATTTTATAGTACATTGCTATTATGTTAAAATTTTTTATCATATTCTCTGTTACTGACCTCTAAGTGAACTATTAGGTACCAGTTCTGCTCCACTGCTGCTGGTCTCTGGTGGAATGTATTAGGAACCAATCTGCTCTCAGCGACAGTCACAAAATAGTGATAACGGTGTATCTACAAATATATTATTTAAATTCTTTATTTTCTGGGAATGTGTTGTATTAATCTTTACCAAACTTTGCAAGGACTCAGTGTTAATCCTGAAGTAGAGCCTGTGAAACCTTCATATCTATTCATACACTCCTGCATTCATACATATCTATTCATACACACTGGTGCCTATAATTAATATATATATATATATATATATATATATATTAGTATATATTATAGATGTATTTGAAAGGGCACCAGTGACTTTAATTCACTTTATCGAAAATCAAGTTTGTATTAATCTGATTATCAAGTTTGATTTCATTGAAACAAAAACTCCTCTGACAAAGAATCGACAGTATCTAATCCAATATTTGCAAATGGTTTGTTAATGAGAACTACACATCCTCAATATTCAAAATTGCTAGGCGGGAAGCTTGTCTCAGCTTAATTGATATTGTCATGCGGAAAACCCAACTCGCCATCAGAAATTCCAGGATGTAACAAAGTTTCAGGTCAAAGTAATCATATCTACACTTCAAATGGCTACTATTGAATGTCAGAGGGGGGGTTATCTTGCGCAACCCATAAACATTGTGATAATATAAAGGTGTTATAGTGGATTGCCTGTTTTCTCTTATTGCAAAGATTGAAATACTGTTTTTCAATTCCCTCCACAGGTTGTTGGACCCAGACGACCTGTGGTCTTTGAGACAATTATGAAAGAAGAAGAAGAAGAAGAAGATAATGACTCAAAACCAAAGAAGGTAAATTCAGTCCACAAACTCATTTTTATGAAATTCTGCTTTACACCAAAAAATATCTTGGATAGGATAGGTACTTCTTGGACATTCTTGCCTTAGATTCCTCAGACAGCCCTGTTCCTACAGTTTCATGTCAACTCAAGGTACTTATAGAGCAATTAATAGTCTGCGATACATCAATTTATTCCAGAAAACTTGGGCTTTGATATTTAATATTTACCTGCTGATCCAAAATCATTTTTATTTTACAGATACGTAATAGCATTAGCTTATTATTAGGTTGTGGGGATTATATAGGTTTTACAACAGAAATCCTGTATATTTCCGTACCTTATTATATATAAATAATAACATTAAAATAATGGTATTTTGTGTGTATCTACTATTATATTCACAAACCCAAATATTTTGATTTCATATTTTTTTGGTTTGTTGGGCTTCTGCATAACTAAATAATACCTGGCTTGATACTGACCCATTTTTACCTTTTTTGCTTTTCCCCTTTTTCTTTTACTGCTGTTAGTTTTCTTGCTTATAAAATTAATTGTCCATTTTTTAAATTTACTGATCATCTCATTTTATCATTTAATTTATTCACACACTAGTTCACATCACTATGAGGACTGTTTCTTGAGATATAATAGTTCATAAGATATAATCATTCATTCTCCTTTACTCTAGTTTCAAACATACACTAACATCGCAGTAAACCAAAGAAACTGGCTGATGTTTCCAGACTATCCATATTGGACACAAAATAGAGACTATACAGAATGGAAAGTTTCATGCATTCCGTGTGCTCAAAATTTCATGCTGTATCTGCCATATTGAAACAGAGTACTCTGACCCAACGCCACTAGAATCACCTGCTCTTTAGGTGGCACTGGCTGGCCACCACTGTTGCTGTCTCCGATATTGTGTTTTGTATGGCGTGTGTTTTTTGCAGTTTTTAATTTGTGAATTTTGTGTAACTGGTTGTTGCTTATATTCAAGTTTGTTTCATTGGGGATATATTAAATTTGTAATTATTGTATAGTTAATAATGAGTACTAGTAAAAAGAGAGGTGTACAATGATGTCTTTATTATTTCCTGTCTGTTGGTTTCCATATAATTTTCTGGTCTCTTGCTCACCTTCTTTCCTCATTGAAATACATTTTAGTGCTTTCTTTCATTAATTGCGTTCAATACAGTTGACGTTTTTCTTAAAATTTCAGTACTGAAACAGTAGTGGAGGTAGAGTATTCTCTATTTATGTCTATATGCAAGTATTGTGATTAGTCTGTTTCAATATGGCAACTGGTGCAACCTCACCTCATCTCATAGACCAAAGGAATCACCATCAAGATTCGTTTCTTTATTCTTTCTATTCTGTGGTAAGGATCTCCCAAATCCAAAAAAGTTACAATTGCTGGCAGTATTCTACATCCATTTATACAACCAACTAATCAACAGTGACAGTTCTGTAAACATTTCATTGTATTAAAAATTATTTCTCTTGTAGTGGGATGCTAGAGTTTAACTGTGTTTAAATTATTGCAGGTTTCCCTTACACCAGGAGGTGAGAGTGGATTTCTTACTTCAATAAGGCAGAAACTTGGTGCATTATTACCAGGTGAGTTGATGAAAACATGACAGATAGTCTGGTTTTCTGTTTTACAAGTTATTTGCAGAGTGAAATTTATTGAAACCTAATGTTACGAATTTGTTCTGTTCAAAAGTGTTAGTGGTAAGTTTCTTCAGGATTCTCTTTTTTTGTAATAAAGGTGTTTCTTTACTTATTTACTGTAAGGACATAAAATTGCCCAATTTACATATATATTACAGCCAAAGAATAGCATGATTTTTACAGAACACTTGGATAACAAGAGCTTTTTCTTAAAATTTCATGTTAAACTGAATATGAAGCTAGACAAAATAAAATATCATTTGATTTCATAACCCACTTGTATATATTCAAGAACATGATCTTAGCCATTTTGTCAACTTATTCATACTGAGATCCATTATATCTAATTATCAATTATTTATGATCCTACAAGTTCTCGAGAGGAAATTATTTGATGTAAAATTGTAGAATAATTATGCCATAAAAATTACTTAAAATGTCTTGTAGTCCTATTGGGGACATAAAACTACATTTCAGTAAGTAATAACGGACTGTTAATGGCTCCACATAATTAGTTGTTTAGGAATGTAATGTTGTTATAGGTCTTAGGTGATATATTTGAATATATATGAATATTGATGATATTTGATACTTTTGCTTATCAAATTTACTGTGTCACTAGGTGAAGAAACCTACAAGTCCCCAACTCTAGAAGGACATTCTCCAGGTGAAGAAACCTATGATTCACCAACATTTCTAGAAAGACTTTCTCCAGACTACATTTGTGACTGTGGTGAACGTCCCGGGTCGGAGGAAGCAGCCACAGCTCATGCGGACTCACATGCTGGGGCAAAACCATTCCGGTGTCTTATTTGCAAAAAGCACTTTTCAACGAAGGGGATTGCTGTTCTACACATGAAAATTCACTTCGGTGACAAACCTAATAAGTATGTCTCCAGGAGGAATTTCAGACAAAAATATGATTTATTTCCAGGTAAGAACATACAAGGTGGTGAGAATCCTATGGAGTGCTACGTCTGCAAAAAAAACTTTACAGAAATAGGAGAGTTAATAGCTCATGTGCGTATTCATACAGGCGGGAGACCTTATGAATGTGATGTCTGTGAGAAGATATTCTGGCAAAAATATAATTATTTTGAGCATATGCGCATCCACACTGGCGAGAAACCTTTTGAGTGTAATGTCTGCAATAAGAACTTTGCTCGGAGGGGAAATTTAATAGTACACATGCGAATCCACACTGGTGAGAAACCTTTTCAATGCAGAGTCTGCAAAAAGAAATTCACTCGATGTTCTGGTTTAAAATCGCACCAGCTGACTCACAACAGAAAAAATTCTTCTGAAACAGTTTGCAAGATGAAGTTCCAGAACGGCACTGATCCATGTAGGCAATAGGCTGCTATTACTTTTACGCAATGAGCATATTAATGGTCCGTATATTCTGACCTGTGGAAATAATAAACCAAAGAAATCTCCCAAAAGGTAATGATATTTGTGATGAGTATGTTTGATGTAGCAACCTATAACAGTTGCAGCCATCATTAACACACTGAATGCCACCCAAATGAGGTGCACTGGTTGAACCCAAGGGTCAAGTTGTGATACAATATGCAACAGACAGTATACATTATTTGAAGTACACTGACGATATTGGTGGGCAAACAGGCCATGCTTCAGATATATATGTTTTGTATTTTACCCAAAGAGAATATGATCTTCTGACACTAGTTTCTCATTGTCACATAATATAGCTGCTACAATTTCTACATGCACTGTGTCTGCCGGCAACAGCCCCCAGGCTTCATGGAACTCAATGTGTTAAAAGGTGTGCTGCAATCATATACTAGACGCTGAATCCTGTTTAGTGGAACAACTTACAGAGAAATTTTAAATTTTATTTATTTAAAAAATGCTTTTTTTTTTCTGCATAATTGGCAAGTATATATTTTTTTTTACATTATGTTTGCAAATTTCTCAAGATCAAGAAGAGATTGCATTATTGCTCTTTTTTTAAAAAAAATATTAAATTATTACAGATATTTATACAGATATACAGATTATTAAATTTTGAAGTGGTTTTTAACCACTAAGCTGTTTTCTTAAGTGTTTTTGTTAATATTTTATAGTGAAGAAAAGAAACTTTTAATTTAACATGCAATTCTCACTAATCTGTTGGCTGGCTCTCAATCCCTTCAGCTGCTGAATACGTTCAATTTCCTTTGACACAAGACTTCTGGTGAAGCCATTGAAAGCAATTTAAGGAAGCTTACAGGGTTAATGTCAATAATACACACATTGTTAAGCAAAATGCCTATTATTTGTTGTTACTGATTTCAAGAAAATGGGGACGTGCAAATGTGTTAATGTTGTGATAGCAATGATAATTTTTCCCATTTCCTTGAGAAATGACTAATTGATTTGCAATATTCTACCTATGCTTAGGGTTTTAGTACATGGTGACTCGTGTAAGTTTCTGTAAGATTTCTACTTTTCAGATTTGCTATAAAAGAAAGTTAACTATTATTTTGTGAAATATTTATTTCGAGATACTTTTAAAATACATCAATTATCACTGGAATAATGGTTATATGCTACTTTTATTGAAGATTGAGGAAATATCCAAAAATCAATTAATTTTAAATATCTTTGTACATTTCTTGAAGTTAGGGAGTTCTGTGTACTTCAGATATTAAGTAAGATAAACACATAAACATTTTAAAAATATATTGTAAAACACCACTTGAAAAGTATGCTGTTAGTGCCTTCATTAAGGTGGTTAGAGCGAGATAAGTGTTATGTTTAACAGGCCTTTTTTATTGTATTAATCGAAAGATGACAGGTTCTTCTATGTTCTGGTAGAGTTTGAATCGATTTTACCATCAAGTTTTTGTGCAACGAGACTGTAAAGTTTGCTGTTTTAACCTGGTCTCTTATGGTGACCGATCTGACCTGAAATTTTAAAATTGTGAGAAAATTAACTGTTGAATGTGCTTTTAAAAGCTTTTCTTTTGGTAGCTAGCATCTCAAAGAATCAACATGTGCAATTTGATGGAAATCTACTTTTTCAAATGGGAGAATTTTGGAAACTTATAAGCCTAAATCAGTCCAAAGGGAGATGTTTGCACGCATTCTAGAGGGTCGGGACAGTGACGCGCATCCCGGCAACACTGTGCACGCAGCGCACTTCATTCAAATCGTGTGACTAGAACTGCAAGAGTTCGTATATTCCTCTGGATCTTCTGGGAGCAATTAAAATATCATCACTCCTGGAGAACATTACGTTTGATAGTAAACAGATATTCAGAAAACTTGAATTTGATGGATATAATTATTAGTGCGATCTGAATGAAAATCTTAATTCAATTAATATTCCCA